CCTTTGTCCTTCTGAATGTTTAAGTACAAGTTTTCCCTCCTCACTAGCTAGAGTTTCTAGGTGTCTGGATTTGAACCGGACAGTCCAGTATTTGTGCTTTCTGTTCGGGAAACAAATTGAGGAAAATGTAAATGACCGGTATTTTCTAAATAAGATGTAATGTAGATTGTGATGTAATATCAAGTGTGTCCGGTATTTTTGTTGAAACCATCTGGCAACCCTATCACTAGCATTAGGTTTGTCATGAATGGTAATAAATGCTGTACAGATACAGGTAATGAACTTTGCTGGAGTGGAGGGTCCTGAGCAAGGAGAAACATCCATAGCCACATAAGGGTTGCCAAGTGGCCAGTTTTCAACTGGAACCCCTGTTTGAAAAGGGATCCTAGTGGCTTCGGTCAGCCCTGCTGACTGGGCCATTAAAAGTCCTGTCAGTGGTGCTGCAGTATGAGCCAGAAGTGGTGCTATAGTATGAGCCAGGGAGAGCACTGCTGTCTGAGAGCTACCAAAGGTAAGTCTGTGCCCTAGCACTTTGAACCAGATCTAACCCCCAGCCCTCCCCCTCACCTACATTCCAAACCCAGCCTCAAGCCCCTTCTCACATCTGAACCTCTCCTTTCTGGCCCCATGCTAGTTTAAATATGCCAGAGTACTACTGCATTGGGCTACCTCCTAAAGAACAGAAACAAGTGCTCTTGAAGCTGCAGAAATCAGTGTCCTTCCTTTAGGGACACTTCCCCTCCCCCCCAAAGGGTAATTATACTGTCTTTTAAATGTAATATAAATATAGATATACTCATTACTATAGAACAGTAATAAGGCCTCGGAATGCTCCAGAGAGGAGTATTTTAAGTCAACTTCATAGTATCTAAGCATCACCAAAGATGTGGTAACCAAATAGAGGAGTGAGAAGAAACTTGAATCTAAAATTGCTTCACTCTGCTCCATGATCTGTGTACAATAAGAAAAATGAGGCAGCAGAGAAGGAATCTCAATACTGAAATGTGTCTCTTGGGATCATAGTTTAGACCACCCATTAATCCTTATCACATTGCTCTTAACACATGCACTGCATTTGCTGATATGCCCTTAGATCAAAATACCAAATCATTGCATTATGCCGTCAACTGTGCAGCAGTCTGAATAAACAAACAGCTTCACCCATCCTGTTTCCTCCATAAAAAGTTAGCTAGGAGAGATAACGCAATGGAAAACTCAATCGAGTTGAAAGGTGTGAGATTTTTCAGTCCATTTTATGCAGAATCATTGACATGAAAATAAATCTAGTGAATCTCTTGCTTACCCTAACATAAATCTGGAGTAAAACTGGGGCGAGATGAGAATCATGTCATGTTCGTACAGTGTTCTATTAGAGATATTGCTTATCACATGGGCATAATGTTCAAAGACACTATTAAGGTAAAACTGTTTTGTCATTCATGTGGAAGGTATTTGGATTGTGGTTAGTGGAATGCCATGCAGTAGACAATTCACTATAAATATGGTGCAGCAAATATATTGTGATGACCATTAAATGTGTATAATTTAGATCTAAAGCCAAAATCCTGACACTTGAGAAGAGCTATGGATCTCCTATTCAGGAGGCCAGTGTTGATACCATCTGGGGTGCCCTAAAAAAAATCCAACCACCTAAACTCCTCCTCTCGGTTGGCTAACATTGACACAACACAGAGGGAATTTAGGTGAACACAGTGTGACCACAAGCCAGAGAGGCTGAGCTTTAATACCCTCTTTACCACTGACTTGCTTTGTGACCTCCAAATGAGAGCAGGCTTTGGATTTACTTCAGCACAATGTTTTGCTGTCCCCTGCCTCTCTGATTAGGATCTGTGCTGGATACAGACTCTGTGCTAAAGTGTATGTAGGTACCTCTATGGGCTCTATACTCCCCTTCCTTCTGCACCATGGACAGAAGCAAAAGAGTAAGTCTGCCCAGATAAGAACTAAAGAGTGAAAAGGCAACTAATGTTGCCCACCTTCTGTTTCCTCACTTGATGCTCAGAGAACACTTCCACTTGGGCACCGCTCAGCTAGGGGCCTATGGTGAGGTGTGTAGAAACGGAGTAGGAGGGGAGCTAGGGAGCAGCCAGTCTACTTAAGATGTTCCCCTATGCACCCAGCAGTTCTTTCATAACTTCCCACTCCAGGGCATGGCTGAGGAGGTGCAGGCCTGGCAGAGGGATTTAATGGTACTATAGGTTCTAACATAGCTGTGCTGCCAAAGTACAACGTGGAGTGTGCTTCTCTCCTAGCCGATGCTGTAAAATCCATGGGATTAAGCCCTGCATTTTCTGCACAGCCAGTATAACTGAGATTTCTAGGCCATCTCTCTGAGATCTGAAACATCCCTCGCTTGAGGAGATCATTACTCAGAAACGGTGTGTTTTGTCTCGCAGAGTTCTCTGAGCACTTCCCCCCACCCTTCTGAAGGAGCTTCATGATATATATATATATAGAATGTCCAAACCCTGCAGTTGGAACTTTTCTAGAGTAAAGGTTGAAGGGTCAGGCCTATGATAATTAAAAATTGAGAAGTGTTGTGGGCTCTGAGTGGATTAAGGGTGATTATAAAAATAAACACCCGTGTCTTGCACTATATGAAACTTCTCAAAACAAGAAGGAATTTTGGCTCCCATCTTAGGCCCAAAAGTCAGTAGTGCAGAGAGGAATGAACATTAGCTAAGGATTCTCCTGTCACAGGGGAATTCTCATCAGTCATGCTGGCTGCGTCTAGTCCATGCCCAGTTCCCTTTTAGCCCTCAGGCCTTCTTGGCCTACCCCGCTGCCATCCTCTGCCCTCTTCCAACCTCTGTTCATGCCAGGAAAAGGAGAGATGATGATATGTGTCTTTTTGTCCTGGTCAACATCTTGGCTCCTCTGCTGTTCTGATTCTTAAATCACTGTGGGGTATCTGAGTGCTTCCAGGAGAGCATTAAATGATGGGACTAACATCTGTCTCGTAGTTCATTCTCTCTCTCAACCTCTCTCCAGCAGAATTCTGTGTGCAGTGTGACTTTTTTTTATTCCATTGGGAGCCACTATCCATTAGTACAAATTGGAATAACCCTGAGTCTGCTCTAACTTGCACTGTGCTTTTTTGTCCCCCCAAGACCTTCAGGATTGGGGAATGGGAGGTAGTGCAACAGTGATGTAAAATCAACACTGTCCCTTCTACAGATGTACCAAGGACATTTCTGGGCACACCTGGGAATCTAGTCTGTTATGTTTTGAACAGCAGTACTACTTGTAGTATTATCAAACCTGGAAATATATGTGTAGCTTTTCCAGTGGTTGATTATTAGCAGATTCTGAAAGTGAGTCTATTGCCAAAAGAGACCGAGCTGTTTTCCTGCCTGAAAAGGAGGTCATTTTCAGAGACTGCCTGTGGTCCCAGGCCACTGCAAAGGCAAGATGGGGCTGGAGGCTTTGAGTCAACAATGCACTGAAGCATGTCCAAAGGATTTGATCACTTGTTTAGTTGCTCTGCTGAATTGTGGCTAGAATCATGAGAAGCCACTTTTGAGACAAAGATGCTTAGTTTTTAACATGACTCCATAGGGAGAGAAGAACCAATGACTCGTGTCTGCGTTTTTAGTGAGAGGATAGGATATGAGAAGAGCTGTGTTGTATTTGATAATATATTATTGGTGACTACAGTCAGTCTCTTTACACTGAGCCCTAAAGCACTTCTGTTTCCCAAGAACAGGTGTATGAAGAGAAGCTGCTCCCATGTGCCTTAGACCACACACTGTTAACAAGAATCTTGTATTGAATTTCCTCACTGGATTTCTTATTGTCTAACTCTGGCACTTTTCCAATGGTCTCCAAGACAGAACTAGTTAGATTTCATTATAACTCAGATGCGATAAAAATCACACTAGGATTTTTTCAGGCGACTGCTTCTCATGAGATGGTAGTAATCCTGTTCAAAAAATAAAGGCCACATGGAATTTTACCAAGAAACCTAAACTTACCTTATTGTAGTATTGCAGAAGCCAGAGACTTGGACAGCTGTCCTGTTTACTCAGGCAAAATTCTCTCCCATCTGATCTTTCAAGTTTGCTGACACCACTAGAATCATTGCAGTTGAAATTCTCAGATCTCGGCTCAAAAATCTGTGCACTTCAGATAGACAGGTTCTGTTGCAGTCAGGACTCAACTCCACAGCTGCCTGTAGCAGAGTACAGCTCTGAAGAGATATCTGTGCCTCAGCTGAGAGAAGGGTGGGTGTAGAGGGTAGGATAGATTGAAGGAAGGGGAGGAGGATTACTGCAACTCTGGTCTTAGAGTTCAAATAGAATTCCTTCCTGCCCTGCAGAATTCCCATGTCTAGCTAGGGTTGCCAGGTGTCCGCTATTGACCAGGACAGTCTGGTATTTTCATCTCATGTCCGGTAAAAAAATTCAGAAAATACCGGACACCTACAATGTGTAGTATTTTCTGATTTTTTTTCTCCCTGCCAGGAGGTGAAAATATCAGACACCTGGCAACCCTACACACACTCAGCAACCGGGCCCAACCCCCAGGCCGCTCCAGGTCTACACCCCTTACCTGGTTCCGCAGGGGAGCTGTCTTCTGGTTTGGAGCAGGAAAACATGATGGCCACTGGCAAAAAGCCTCAAAGGCATTTCTTAAAGGGGCCATGCTGGGGTTTTTTTATTAATTAATTTATTTATTTATTGTTTGTTTGTTTGTTTGTTTTTGCTTAACTCTTGGGGTCCTTTTTTTTCCCCAACAACTTTGGTCTGCCCCCCCCCTTTTTTTCCCCTCAACAGAATGTTTTCCCTGTTTTGTTTTTTTCTTTTTTTGGGGTGGTGGAGGGAGGGATTGTTCAGTATTTTTGGTTAAGCCACCTGGCAACCCTATGCCTAGCTTGGTTACTTGGTCTGTGCTGAGATGAGGATCCACCCTTGGATGGTTTATCAAGATAGCAATTGAAATATTCTCACTTTTCTTTCTTTCTCTTCTTTGTTTTATAGGCGCATTTTTCTTCTGGTTATAAAGAGAAGGCTCCCTAGAAACCCATATGAGTGAGGCCCCACTCTGCAATGGAATCCTGGCCTACCCTGGCCTGGGTTTTGCTACTTAGTCTGATCGCTGACTGTCTGAAAGCAGTTCAACCTAGAGACTTTACAGTGAAAGATATTATCTACCTTCATCCTTCAAGTAAGTCATTTCATGTGCTTAAAACAGGATATTACTGTGCAGAGAGAGAGAGAGAGAGAGGAGGGAAAAAAAAAACATGAATCAGCTCAAACTACCCAATGTTTCTGCTGTCTAAGAAGTATGCAGCTTTTTCTAAAGTTAGCCTCTGTACTAAGGAAAGGAAGTTATTAAAAAAGTATGGAAGTGTATTTTATATGTATATGTAACCCACACACCTACTGGGTGTTGCGCTTAGACCACTTAGGCTATGTCTACACTGCTCGCTTATTTTGAAATAACAGTGTGCATCTACACAGTAAGCCCGTTATTTCAAAATAATTTCGAAATAACGTGCTTCTTACTCCAACTTCCGAAACCCTCATTTGATGAGGAGTAAGAGAAGAAAAGGAAGAATATTCTTCCTTTGACTTCCTGCTGCGTAGACAGCACCAAAAGTCAAGTTAAAGTACTTGGACTTCAGTTACGCAATTAACATAGATGAAGTTGTGTATTTTAACTCGACTTTAGTCCTCAGTGTAGCCATGCCCTTATAGAAAAAAAGAATGCATCTCCTCTACAGCCTTAGCTAAGCAGTAGTTGGCTTTTAGCTCAAGCTGTACGGTCACCTGTAGTAAGCTCCAGAGGTCTCAGGTTTGATTCCGCCTTGATATTACATACATACATGCCAAAGAATATTTGTCAGAAGCATATTTATCTGTTTATATAACAACAAATAATTAAAAGCCAAACCATCTGTGCTATTGAAATGCTATAATAAAGCTGACCAGACTTGCCACATATCTTCAGAGATTTTCTAGGTCAGCCAGATCTTACAGCCTGATCCTGCTCTGGGGTTTGGATGAAAGTTCTGCAATAGCAGCAGTGAACAACTGGAAGTATGGGTAAACCTTGTATTTTCTAACTGACGGTCTAATAAAGTGAAGTGAGCTGCTGGGATTAGCTAATAGGATGTCAAAACCATGTTGGCTAGTACATGTCATGAGACATTGAGCAGTTGGCTTTGAGATACTGTTTTCCTCTAAACCCGGGGGACATTTTTTTTCTAGTAACCTCTCAGTTACATTTAAGGGCAGCTCTTTAGCACATTCAAGTAACTCACTACTCTTAGTAGTAATAATGGTTGCTAGGGATGTAAAATCCCATTTAATCGGTTAACTCCACGTTTCTCAAACCGTGGGTCCTGACCCCCCAGGGGGTCATGAGCAACTTAGAGGGAGGTTGCGGTATCACAAAGTTTGAGAACCCCTGGGTTAACTGGTTAAATATTTAAATGGGGGTGGGCAGGAGGCTGGGCTGGAGTGCCCCTCTGTCCATGATCAGGGACTGCTCTGGCTGGCCTGGGCCCACAGCACCACACTTTGGTCAGGGTGGCTTGGCTGGAGCATCCTCCACCCATGACACAGTGGGCCCAGTGAGGTCACCAGTTATTTATAACCAGTAAGCATCAACCAATAAGGGTGGTACTTGCCCGTTAACTGATTAACCAGTTAACCAATCACATCCCTAATAGCTGCTGCACTCATCTCTGGCTTTCACTGTCCAAGTTGCGGTTCCACACTCTCTCTGGCCAGGACACACCCATTTTATCTCCTGCTCACCATGTCTCCATTCAGTATGGCAATGGAGGTTTGCATACGTTACTGAACATAGTCCTCATAATAATGCAGAGATATGTGGAAGCTTCTCTCTACCAAGAAGTGGAGTAAATGTGAGTGTCAGGTGCTAGTCCTTGCTTCTCTAGATTTCTTTCAGCAGTGTTCAACAGGCTGCAAGGTCTAGGCCATAAGTACCCAGGATTTGGAAAGAGGATTAATGGGGAAGTTTGCTTTTAATGTGAAACTATCCTCAATGCTTACTGCATATCTCATTTTCCACTCTGCCAATGCACTCATGTTTCAATTCTACAGACCGTTAGGACCATGGTTTCCTTTGATTAATGTAAAAGGCACAGAGCAGAGGTAAGCATAGTTCACTTTTTTATAAGCAACTGTGTCCTTTGTGATAGATTTGCTGACACAAAAACACAGCTCTGGGTGCTCAGGAAAAGTGCCACATTGACAGTCTTGGAGATTTAAATTCTTACAGAAAACTGAAGTTGACTGTTGATCACAGAAGAAGTATAACCCATCCAGCAGCAGTAGATTCCTGTTAATGTGGCCCTGTCTATACACCTCAACCTTATGAAGACTCCGCCTTCATCAGGGCTTGCTTTAATTCTTATGTAAATCAATGGAAACACTCAGTGGCTTTGGATCAGGCCCTGAGTCTGAGTAGTCTATTAAGAGCTCTTCTCATTTCACAAGGGCAGAGAAGAGCTGTCAGATGGCAATGACTTTGTTACCACTGGCCAAGCCACACCCTGAAAGTATTCAGCTAGAGCTAAAAGGCTGTTACCCCTGCAAAATCCCCAGCCAATGATTCAGTAATTTTCTGAGCTTCTGATGTTTTGATTGATTAAAGGGGGTGAAGCTCATAGGGCTTGAGATTTTTGCAAACTTCTTTCTTGGGTTCTGGCACTAATTTGAAGCTGCTGTTCTTCTGCCCACATAATTTAAATCGATTTTTCCCAAGGACCAGTCATTAAAAAGAATGAGCCAGATCGTGTCAATGGCATAGATTCAGTGGAGCTAGGCCAGTTTACACTAGGGATGTTGACAAGTCGTCAGTTAAACAGTTACCATCACCCTTAATGGTTACCTAGTAATGGTTTACTACTACCCAGGAGCAGGCCCCTGCCCTTGGCCCAGCAGCAGGTGGAGAGCTACTCTAGTCTGCCAGGTCCCCCAAGCAGGACTGGTGGCGCTCAGCCCATGCGAGCTGGGAGCCTGAAGCTCCCATGTGGGGGCCAGCAGAGGTGGTAGGAGCAGCCTCTGAATGGGCGCCAGGAGTTATAGCGGTAGTGGCAGGGGGCCCCCCCGGGGGGGCCAGGAGCCATGTCGAGGGCTGCTCTAGCCTGATCCCAGTGACCTGCTGGAGTGGCCTCTCCACCTACCCCTTTAAAACAGTTAAACACAGTGTCATCACTGCATTTACCCATTACCAATTAAACAGGGTTTTACAACCCTAATTTACACCAGCTAATGATCTCTTTCAATATCTATCTAGCTATAGGGAATCCTTTATTAGGAACAAGAGGTGGTTGAACATTTTCAGGTTTTTTTTTTAAATCGAAAGTTGAATTCTGAATAGAAATTTTTATTGACAGTTTTTTCAAGCAGGTCTGTTTAGGGCTAGAAGGGAGCTAGCCTGGCACTAGAGGCTGCCCATTTAGGGCTGAGTTGTACAGATCTTATTTATTATGATGAGCAATTATTTAATCACTGTGATTATTAATTTAAGTGCTCACTGACATGAACAAAGGTTGCATAACCAAGTCCGTAAGGCAATTAATTTAATTACCAATCTAAAATGCTGCATGTATTTTTTTCATTGGCATCACAGTCTCATTGTATCATTTTCATTTTGCCTACTCTGTTTCTTTTTCGCCTTTCTACCTCTCTGCCCTTGTTTTTTTTTTTTTTCACACTCTGCTAAATAGAATCTGACTATGTTTAACTTTGAATCAGACTTTTGAACCCACCTGTGTTCTAGTGGGTTTGAAATTAAGCAAAATGTGTTTGCACATCCCTAAAACAAACGTCTCTGTTTGGGAAATTTAGCCTTTTTTAAAATGTATGGTGAACAAAGACTAAATCACCGCAGTAGTCTAGCAAAGAAGGCTGGTACAAAGTGAACCATTGCTGACCAAAGAAGTTAATGGATAGATAATGTTACAAGCAGTTACAGGCCACTGTGAAGTTATTTTTTTTCTTTAGAATCACCCTTTCCTGAGGGACTAAGGCCTTATGTCTCGAAACACAGTCTACTGAGCTTATTAACTTCTGTGATCAAGAGCCAAATGAATTTACTCACAGCTGTGGCAACAACTGTTTTGAAACTTTATTTTACTCCAGTAGCACTTTGAAGATAAAGGAAAATACCATGCATCTCAGGAACTTCCACAATCTCTCCTTTTTGTACACCTGTTTTTATCAGCTATAGTATTAGCTAATGGTCTATTACAAGAAGCAGTGTTCGCACACATTCATCTGGCCACACATGTTCAGAAGCTATTTTCAGAGAGCCTTTCCTGCTTTTTGATATCCAAAAGAACCATTTCCTTTTTACTATTTAAAGTAAAACACCTAATCCCTGGACACTTATTATGAGATGAATATATTTTAGGATCCTGGCCTGAAGAGCCATGAAGAACAGTTTTGCATATTTTTTGTGCTCTAATTTAGGTTGCTTGCCAATATGAAATTAATAATAATTTCATATGCAGATTTTTTGTGTGTGTATAGAGGGGGGAAAATCTGTTTTGTGACCATCTTTGCTATTAGAAATTGTCTTATGTTTTAATTTCAGATTACATCTGGTCAGGTGCTTTGTATTGTTTTGTGTCCAACAAAATAGAAGTTTAACACGGGCCTTACCAAGATCTTTGCAAATCTGTGAGATACAGATTTTTAAACATGGTTCTTAACACTCTACTTTCAACATATGTATAGCTGAGCCATACAGAATTACCAACAATTGTTTTTCAGTTCACGGACAAAATCTGTTCAACAGCTTTTCTAATGATTATAGAGTTAAGGATGAAGAGAATAATGTTTTATTCGCCCTCTATAAGAAGCGTCCCTTCTTGAGCAGGCAAATAAAATTTTGCACGGTTGGCATAGCTGGTGAAATTCACCCATGTAGCAAAGGGTCTAGTACAGAGGTAGGCGAAGGGCCCTCCATGGGCTGGATCCAATCTGCCAAGCTGGTGGATCCAGCCCGCAGCCGCCCTACCACTCCCCAGGCCAATTAGGTTCTGGGGGCAGGGGAGTGTGTGAAGTCTCCTCGCCCCCGCAAGAGTATGCAGTGGCTAGAGACACACTGGCTGTTTTAAAATAGCTGGTGTTTATCTCTAGCTGCCGCATGCCTTTGGCAGGGGAAGCGGGGAGGGGAAGATTTGTGCATTTCCTGCCCCCAGGCCAATCAGGGTCTGGGGGCAGGGAGCGCGCAAAGTCTCTTGTGTCCTGTCTCTGCCCTGCCAGGGGCATGCAGTGGCTAAAGACACACGCTGGCTGTTTGAAAGAAGCTGGCATATCTCTCTAGATGCCATGCGCTCTTACAGAGACAAGGAGACTTCACACACTCCCCTATCCCCAGGCCCTGATTGGCCTGGGGGCAGGAGGATCATGTGAGGTCCCCTCCCACTGAGTGTCTAGAGGGAACCACCAGTTGTTTTCAGACAGCTGGCATTTTTCTCTAGGCGGTAGGAGAGGGAAGGGGAAGACTTCTCCCACTCCCCCCATCCCAGGCCAATCAGGATATTGGGGGGAGGGGGTGGGGACAAGAAGTCTCCTGGTCTCTGAGACCCTGTCCCTTCTGGGATGGTCTAGGGCTACTTCGGAAATTTCTGAAGTGGCCCCCTTTTAAAAATTTTTGCCCACTCCGGTCTAGTACAAGGCTTTCTAAACCACATAAACACTTTGGGTATGTCTACACTACAGGATAAGGTTGAATCAACATAAGCAACTTCAGCTACGTTAATTGCATAGCTGACGTTGAAGTACCTTAACTTTTGGCACTGTCCACACTGCAGGAAGTTGAAGAGAGAACATGCTTTCCCTTCAACTTTCCTTACTCCTTGTGGAAGCAGGATTACAGTAATCAACAGGTTGGCTAATTCAAACCCTGGAAGATTGACAGCGGCAGCTTTAGTCTTCTCTGTAGTGTAGACATAACCTTTGGGAGAGACCAATCTTCAGAGAGGCATACCAATTCCATGCAGGCTGGTATTGAGAGGACATTTTGAGATTGTTGATTCAGAGGCACCAAATACCTTTGCGTATGGTGTGCAATGGCTGGTACTCTGAACTTTGGACTTGGAACTGATTGTAGAGGTGGTGTACTGAATCTTGTGCTGTTTGCTGGAAATGAGCTAGAATGAAGATAATTTCTACTATCCCCATTTTATTGCCCTCTCACAATACCTTGGATTTGTGCCAGTTGTAAATTTCACCTGTTGTTAGTTGGTTAGTTTCTGGGCTTTGTACTAAAAGATGGCACCATTTGGAAAAATCCATTTAGTTTGATTTGTTTAGAATGTATTGCAGAAGTCTTGTCAAGAGATCACTGTAAACCTTTGTTTCACATTTGGCTAAATAAGTTGTACTCAAGCATGTTATTGATAGTTGGAGATTCAGCAAATTGATGTTTTATTTCCATTTGGGATCTCAGTCAGCATTCAAAAGTGTGAATTTATTTCCTCCATGAGACAGATTTCAGAAGTATTTAGTCCAGCTGACATTTGTTAACAGCGGTGATGGAGTAAAAGTATTGGGTGTTGCAGTTAAATAATATGTGCTACAAAGAATGAGCAAGTAGAATTATGTGTCTGGATCCCTTACCTCTTTTTCAGATGAAATGCCTTTTTGAATCATGTGTACACAATTTTCCTTGGTAATGACTGTTTTGCTGGACACTTGTACTTCTATGTAAATGCTTTTCCTATATTAGAGAATTTTAAAATTCAGGACAAAATACGATGGGGTTGACACGCATCTACATAGTAATAAGTATATTTTTGAAAAACAGTTGTACCACAAAGCCTTTTAAAAGCCTGGTACAGATTGGCTCAATGACAATTAGTTTTAATGAATTTTGTTTACATTTTTCAGCCACACCATATCCTGGTGGATTTAAATGTTTCACCTGTGAAAAGGCAGCAGACAATTATGAATGCAATCGCTGGGCTCCAGATATCTATTGTCCACAAGGTAAATTAGCTCTATGCTATCTGTTTAAATTAAATCTCTTACGAAAATACCTCAGTATTCTCATTTAAATGATAACTTGCACAGGTATCCAAAACCTGATACTAGAGGTTTTTAAAAACAGGTTGGACAAATACATGTCAGGTATAGATGACCTCTTGAGGTCCCTTCCAGCCTTACATTTCAATGCTCCTATGATTTTCATTATTCACAGAGTATTTGAATTCAGGTGATCACACCTTAAGCCTCAGTTACTGTACATAAGAGTGGTGGATGATACAATTATTCATTTAAGTCTCATACTTCCCTTTTGCAGTAGATAGGTTTAGAGCTTTATCTATCCCCATATTCTCTCGCAGCTGAAACAGAAAGTAAGTATCAATGGGACTTAGGCTACGTCTGCACTACGAGTTTTCTCGGCAAAAAATATGCTTAAAAAGGACTCATTTGCATGAGTCGCGATCTCATTTGCATATTTTCTGCCGATCCATTTTTGTGCTAGGGGTTTTTGTGCAAAAACAAGCAGTGTGGACGTTTTCTTTTTGCACAAAAAACCCTTTTTCCACAAGATCGGTATACCTTTTTCCGGGGCATAAGAATCTTGCAGAAAAGGGGGTTTTTGTTCAAAAGGAAAACTTCCACACTGCTTGTTTTTGCACAAAAACCCCTAGCACAAAAATGGATCGGCAGAAAATATGCAAATGAGATCGCGACTCATGCAAATGAGTCCCTCATTAGCATATTTTTTGCTGAGAAAACTCATAGCTGTAGCATCAGGTTGCCAAGTATGTAAGTCAATTTTAAAAATGAGACTGTGATGAGGTGTTCACCCCTCACCATACCTGAAGGGAGGTATGTTGGAGCAGATGGGGACAATTACCCTTATAGGGCACACCTGGTGGAGAGTCTGGCATGTGTGGAAATGACTAATGGCTGATAAAGCCCAGATTGGGGTGAAGCTGGTTCAGCTATAAACTCAGGAAATTCCTAGCAGAAAAGGGCTGCAATGTGAAAGCTGCCAGTCGTTCTCTGGGCTTGGGAAGAGAGAGGAAGGAGGAAGCTATATCTATACTTTGAATCTTACCACTGCTGCATCTGGCTGCTGTAAGGTCTTCGGTGTAGCTGCTGTATGCCAGTGTGAGAGAGCTCTCCTGCTGGCGTAATTAAACTACCCCAACAAGCCGCAGCAGCTATGTTGGCAAGAGAATATCTCTCACCAACATAGCACTGTGCCCAGGGGTACTTTCTTCAGTTTTTTTCACACCCCTGCCTGACTGGCTTTTCAGTGTAAGTGCTAGTGCAGATGAAGCCCTCTGGGTGAGAAGTCCTAGAAACCTGGCTGTGAGTGAAGGGTCCACCTACAAAGGTGGATGAGAGAGCTTTTGGGAGGTAGAATAGTAAGCATTGTTAGAGATTGTGCAGACCAAAGCAGAAACCTGAAGTAGTGGATGGGCCTGAATGCCAGGGAAGTGGCACAGGACCTGGTCTTGGACCAGAAGATTTTCTGGAATTGCACAAAATGTAACAGAATTCTGTTCGGAGAGTATGGAAACTATTTTATTAATTTGCAAATCCGACTTAAAGGAATGCAGCAGAATACAGAAAACTTAGAGATTGTGCAGACCAAAGCAGAAACCTGAAGTAGTGGATGGGCCTGAATGCCAGGGAAGTGGCACAGGACCTGGTCTTGGACCAGAAGATTTTCTGGAATTGCACAAAATGTAACAGAATTCTGTTCGGAGAGTATGGAAACTATTTTATTAATTTGCAAATCCGACTTAAAGGAATGCAGCAGAATACAGAAAACAGCTGGGAGTAATGTTAAAAAACCCACAAAGCATTGGGAGGAAAAGATTGGTTTTATACAGGGAAAAAGAATCAATCCTTGAATTTTTGGGATGGTGGTTGTTGTCATTCACTATATTGCATAGAATGAGAGAGCATTGTGCAGAATTCTACCCATAATGGCTAAACTCCCATCTAAAAATCAACTAATATAAATTTGACTCAAACAAAGCAGTTCAAATCTGGAAACCAGTTTTGGCCAGGCAGTAGAAATGATTTCTTAGAGACAGTTGTGAGACTCTTTGAATCAAAGATATACTTCACCTTTTGGAAAGCTATTTATTTAAAAATCTCTCTCCTTTTTCTAACTTTCCCCTCAGAATCTCAGATCTGAATACCTCTGAAATTTTGAAGTGTTTGAAATCATGACAGAGATCCAAATTCTGTGGATATCCTTCTTTGCTTTTTACCTTCTTTTAATTTATTTTTCTCTTCCATGCTCTGAATATACCTCCTAATTTTCTCAATTGCTTCCTGCTTTCATTTTTCATTTCTTGCTCATCCTGACATCCTTTATATAATGTCGCCTTCATGCTCCATTTCTCTCTGTTGCTCTCTTTCTCATTTTGTTTTACCTTTTTGTGTGTTGGGAGAAATCCCTCTAGCCCAGAGGTGGGCAATAATTTTTAAAAGGGGTCCACTTGAGAAATTTGTGAAGTTGTCCTGGGCCACCCTGGAAGGAGCAGGGCCTCAGGCAAAAGAGGCAGTACTAGGAGACTTCTCATGCTCCCCTTCTCACAGACCCTGATTGGCCTGGGGGTAAGGGAGCACGTGAAGTCTTTCCCACCCCTGGCGCCTAGAGAGAATCACCAGCTGTTTTAAATCACTTGGTTGTTCCCTTTAGGTGCTGCAGCGGGAGGAGACCGTGCACAGCCCTCCTGCCCCCAGGCCAACCAGTGCCTGGGGGCACCAGGCAGTGTGCAAAGTCTCTCACCCCTTACCCACACTCTGCCAGGGGTGTGCAGTGGCTAGAGAGAACCGCCAGCTGTGTTAAAACACCAGCTGTTCCCTTTGATGCCACACGTCCCTGGAGGGAAGGATGCCTCATCCTTGATTGGTCGGAAGATGGGGGAGCAGCAGGGTGGCTGTGGGCCAGATCTACTGGCTTGGCAGGCCAGATCCGGCCCACAGAAGCTCCTTTGACCACCCCTGCTCTAGTCACAGTCTGCTTAGAATTGGGAGCAGAGAGTGGGCTGTGAAAAGATGCAAGGGAACTATGTACTGTAAGCAACACTCCATCCTGTCTTTCTCCCCATTGGCCAAGTATATTCTGCCCATATATAGGGGAAGCTCAAGGGTATAAACTATAATAGTCCAGCCACAGCAGAAAGGTGAATGAGTATCCTCCCCTTTGCTACTGGGTACCCACACTGGTGTACATCTTCCTAGAAAACCTGATTAAGGCCCCTTCACAAAGTACATTTTCATGAACCAGTGACAAGGGATCCAAATTTGGCTCTATCAGAGTTACTCCTAAAACTGTTTGAAATAAAGAAGCAGCAGAGAGAAGTTGACACTGCTCAGGAAATATTGCTGACTGACCCTTTACAACTGAATCTACAGAACTCAGGATGTAAGCAGGTGATATTTTTGGAAAGCAGCTTTCACCTAGCCAGTTCTTTTCAATAGGTGCTTAATATATATTTAATAATGACCTTTAGTGTTTTCATCCAGCTCCTCTCTGAACTTTGTACCTAGATATGGTAGTGATTGGCCTATTGCAAATGACTTCCTTAGTCAGTACTGCTCATGCAGCCTAGAAAACAAAAGACAATAGTCCCAATAGCAAAGACCAGCCATCCTGTATCTCTAGACTAAGCCAAAGAGCTACAGGAAATCCTTTTGAATTTAATTTGTTTTCTTAAGAATTTAAATTAATGTAGTTTCAAAATAGTGAAAGGTCAGAACAGCTTGTGTCAAATGATGGTTATAGTAGCAGTTCCTGCCTTGTTTTGGCAAGAATAAACATTATTTTAAATAATTGACAATGATGACAGTGGCTAAAAACAGTCTGCAGACTAGTCCATAAGACACAAAAGAGAGACTGCAAAGCTTTTAACAAAAATGTTTCCTAGCTTCAAAGACTTACTGATTTAGACATTAAAGGGAAGCCAAGAGTGAGGCAATGCCAATTGCTTTCTTTTTGTCTTTTTTGTAATCATGTTTCCAGTGACTCTCTTTCACGAATAAGGCTTATGCAGACAAGTTTTGATGGTATGTCTGTAAACTATGATTGCCTTCTACCTTGTATTAAGTTTGTTTGTTTTATCTACCTGTAAAAATGCTAGGTTTCTTTTACACTTCACCACAGCAGCATCACGGTGTATTTTCAAAATATGGGATTTTAAAGAACCTGGAATCGACCAGATGGAAATTCTAATCCATCTTTTCATGTTTAGAACAAAGAATCCAAAATCTCCTTAGAATGGAGTTATCAGATAGCATTTTGCTCACATTGTTTTTGGACTAAATGCTCCATGCTATCAAGGTACGTTGGGAACAGTGTACTTTGTAGCTGGATGTTAACCTGAACCAAGCTTAGATTCACTGTGTGCCCTGCTTTATTTATCCTCAGACTGAAACAAAGTCCTTGTGTGCCACCTCCCTGTAGTGGCATTCTTCAGAATGAATGCAAAATAACAACATAGCATGGTATTGTAGGTGATTTCCCCCTGCATTCTTGTAAGAAATGGCTTTCCTATTCTGCAGAACAAGCAGAATTTTAAAGGACCAGGACCAGAGTTTCTCTTTTTCCCTCCTTCCCCTCCCCCCCAAAAAAATATTCCTGGGCTGTTCGTAGCAGAAATGACAAGTATAATTTGTATGGTCACTTTCTGTATTTGACCATGGATTTTGAAACAAAACGAGACAATTCTCAGCTGATAAATGAAAAAACAAAGGTAGATTGTCTTGCATTGTTTAGAGAGAAGTATTAATTCTGCTATCACTTAATATTAATTTTAAACCAGTATAAATCTATTGATTCGCTTCTCACATTGTTATAATTTAGGGATAACTCCACTACAGTCATTCGAGTTAATCGTGTACCTAAAAGAATCAGCACCATTGGCTTAAATGGGCTATCCTGGAATTATAGCAGAATCAGGCTGGTAACTTGATCAGTTCATATTGTAAGGAGAGTCAGATGTGATCTGTAT